TTAAAACAGCCCAATATCTTCCCCTCAAGGGTTTCCCCTAATTATCAGTGATCATCAGGTTCCAAAAGTCAGCTTGTCTTCACCTCATTCTCTATCAAAGAGGGAGATGTTAATTGCATTATCACCTTGCCAACACCCTCTGAAATGATGGCAGTGATCATTAACAGCCTACCACAGAGCCAATCAGAGTCAATCCAAATTCTGAACCAGCCAATGGAGTGCTTCCTAATCCCACGTGTGTGTAAACACTAAAAACATAAAAACACAAGGCAGCCATCGTGGAGAATGGGGTGCTGGGGGTGCTGAAGACCAGGTCCGCCATCAATTCCATAAAATGTTTCACTGGTTAATACAAACACACACAGACACACACACACACACACACACATGCACATGATGCAGTGAAAAGCTAGAAGATTCCCACAAGTCTTATGATTTTTTTTCCCGGCCTTCTGCATCCCAGACCAATATAATCAACTAGCAAAGAAATTCTAAGTAATGCCAAGTTGTCTGGTTTTATTTAATGAAGAACCTCTCCAAGAATGCTGTCAGCATGCTGCCTTTCACAGATAAGTAAATATTTATGGCTCCTTGCATGTTAGTTTCGGCAGAGACCAAGACCAAAAATAATTTGCCCTTGTTCACTCGACTTCCTTTCTTAAATGTACAAAGTAAGGCTATGGTTTTCCTCCGTGTATTCTTGTTCATGGCTCACCTAAGAAGATGCCTTTTGGACTGACCTAGGATCCAGCTATCAAAATCCTGCTCACAACTACTCAAGGCCTAGTTCAAACTCCAGCCCCCCATATCTCCTTTTTCAACCCCATCCAAAGAGGGACAAGTCGTTGAACAGTTGATATCTTTCTGCTGTGAAGAGCACTTTCAAAGACTTAATCCTCAAGAGAAAAGTGGGCAAATAAACAATGCACAAGAAAAGAAATACACATACACAAGAGACACATGGAAATGTATTCAACCTCCACCATAAAAGAAATTCCCATTTTAAATATTTTGATCTATCAAACAAACAGCTTTGCAGAGGCTATCTCTTATTTGGAAATCTAGGCTGTCACTCTCCCACAAAGCTCACAGAGCCAACCTTACTTGGGGGACAAATATTTTGAAATAAAGGGGCCTCACTCCCTAGGACTTTCTCTTCTAGGACTTCACCATAAAGAAATATCCAGAGGGCACCCAGTGATCCATGGTAAAAAAAACACTGGCCACAACTTCACTGGTAATGTGAAAAAATCAGAAGCAACTTCATGTTTGCCATAAAGGAAATGGTCAAACAATATGATGCGTCTGTCAAAGGACAAAACTGCAATTGACCCTTGAACAACATGGGTTTGAATTTCTTGGGTCCGCTTACATTCAGATTTTCTTCCACCTCGCCATCCAAGACAGCAAGACCAACCCCTCCTCTTCCTCCTCCTCCTCAGCCTACTCAATGGAAAGATGATGAGGATGAAAACCTTTGTGATAAACCATTTCCACTTACTGAACAGCAAATGCATTTTCTTTTCCTTATGACTTTTCAAATAACATTTTTGCTCTAGCTTACTTTATTGTAAGCATACAGCATGTAATACATGTAACATTAAAAATATGTATTAAGTGACTGTTTACGTTATTGGAAGGAGTCCAGTCAGCAGTAAGTACTAGCAGCTAAGTTTTGGGGAAGTCAAAATTGTATGTAGAGTTTCAAATGCGTAATGGGTGGGTGGAGAAGAGTGGGCATCCGTAACCCCCGAGGTATTCAAGAGACAACAGCACAACAAATGAGTTTAAAGCGCTCAATTGGCTTTATTTGCAATTCTAGAATCAGGCAACACCTTTTTCCAAAACACAGAATGAGTGATCCAGTGAGCCCTGCAGAATTTGCTTTATTAACAGAGAAGGCTGAAGAAAGCAGAAACAAAGAACAAAGAGAGGATTCGTTACTTTTAGACAGAACAATAGAAAAATAACTGATTCATTAATATCGGGTTACTGCAGGCTTCCTTTTTTGTGTGAGGATTAAAGCAGAGGGAACTTCATTATCATGCGGATTGAGGATTGAAACAGACCTGTTTGGGAAAGTGGCTGTTATCTCTCTCCCGATTTCTGAGAAGGTCAGATAACAACTGAGTTTAGTTTTGGTGACTGGGAAACTGAAACAGATCCAACACTTCCTTAGACAGTGCTTTCAGATAAACATAGATACTAACTCTTCTGCTCTCAAAGCCTGCAACTTGCATTTGTTTTTTGTTTTGTTTTGTTTTTTAAATTTTATCTTACTTTATGTTCCAGGATACATGTGCAGAACGTGCAGGTTTGTGACATAAGTAAATGTGTGCCATGGTGGTTTGCGGCACCTATCAACCTGTCATCTAGGTATTAAACCCCACGTGCATTAGATATTTGTCCTCATGCTCTCCCTCCCCTCGCCCCCCCAACAGGCCCTGGGTGTGCTTTTCCCCTCCCTGTGTCCATATTTTCTCATTGTTGAGCTCCCTCTTATAGGTGAGAACATGCGGAGTTTTGTTTTCTGTTCCGGTTGTAGTTAGCTGAGGATAAAGGCTTCCAGCTTCATCCATGTCCCCGCAAAGGACATGTTCTCATTCCTTTTTATGGCTGCATAGTATTCCATGGTGTGTATGTACCATATTTTCTTTATCCAGTCTATCACTGATGGGCATTTGGGTCGGGTCCATGCCTTTGCTATTGTGAATAGTGCTGCAATGAACATACGTGTGCATGTATCTTTGTAAAATAATGATTTATATTCCTTTGAGTTTATACCCAGTCATGGGATTTCTGGGTCAAATGGTATTTCTGGTCATTTGTTTTATCTGAATTCCTTCCTCAGGAAAATACTCCCAGACTCCTCAAAAAGTAGGAAAGAATTGAAACTCACCAGATCACCACATCCAGACAAGGAGATGCCAGACCCCTCACTCATCATGATTGCTTCCTCACCATTCCCTGGTTCCTGTTTTCCAACACATGTTACATTTCTGCCCTGCTATATAAGTCCCTAATTTTAGACAGCCAGGGAGAGGAATTGGAGACTGACCTCCCATCTCCACGGCTGCGACACCCGATTAAAGCCTTCTCCCTTGGCAATAATTGTTTTCTCAGTAATTGGCTTTCTATGTGGTGAGAAGCAGGGCCTAAATAGAACCTCTGGTGTTTCAGTAACAGCATGTTAGCATGGGGAACTCCATTTTGATTTTTAGTCTGCTCTGTGGAAGCCTAGTGCAGAAGCTTAGTAGAAAACAATAGCCTCCTGTAACTTTTATTTAACACATCTATAAAATGCAACTCTGTGAATTCTTAAAATCGAACCAAAAAAAGTCTGAAAACCATCAAGGACATAGAAAATGTTTACAATATGTTAAGGGGGAGGGAAAAAAGGACAGGATATAAAAACTATATGTATAGTTGAATCCCAATTTTGAAAAAATAATAAGACATCTAAATGCCCACAGGCCTGTAAAGAAATGCATAAAAAATTTAACAAGGTTTATCTCTGGATAGTGGGATTACAGGCAGTTTTTATTTTCTGCTTGAAACTTCCCTGTATTTCTGAATGTTCAAAAATAAATTTGTATTACTCCTATATTCAAAAAGCAATGCTTTGCTTTTGTTCTTTACAGGCTCTGAACCCCCACAGCTCTTGCTGTCAAAATGACTTACCGCAAACTGCACGCGACCCCCAGCTCTGCAAGAACTTGTTCTGGCTTCTGCTTCTGGCTCAGCCTCCTGAAGGCCAGGAATCAAGGCCTCTCCTCCCTTGCTCCTCACCCAAGGTCTACGGGCTCAGCTCTTCTTGTTGTTCTTTAGATTCAAGGGGTACTTGTGCAGATTTGTTACATGGGTATATTGTGTGATGCTGAGGATTGGTGTACAAGTGATTCTGCCACCCAGATAGTGAGCATAGTACCGAATAGGTAGTTTTTCAGCCTTTACTGCCTCCTTCCCTTCTAGTAATCCTCAGTAGTCTGTTTTCCATCTTTGTGCCCATGAGTACCCAATGTTCAGCTCCCACTTATAAGTGAGAACATGTGACATTTGCTTTTCTGTTTCTGTGTTAATTTACTTAGAATAATGGCCTCCACCTGCATCCATGTTGCTGCAAAGGACAGGATTTCATTCTTTTTTGTGGCTATGTAGTATTTCATGGTGTAAATGTGCCACATTTTCTTTATCCAATCCACTGCGGGTGAGCACCTGGGCTGGTTCCATGTAGCTGCTATTGTGAATAGCACTGCCATGAATGTATGTGAGCAGGTTCATCTTTTTAGTTCAGTTCCTTATTTTTGATGTTTGCCCTCAGTTGCCCACACCCTGGCCACTTAGCTCATACCAACAAACCCCAGAGAAGGTGTCTTGTTTCTGAGGAGTTAGAGGGCAGGAATAGGGAAAGGAAGAAAGAGGAAGTAAGAAGTGTGAGAAATTCTCCTTGGTCATGATAGAAAGCTGTAGACTCAGCTTGGGCGCACGTTTCATTTACAGGAATTTCTTTTTGGGGGGTTATATATCCAGCTTTATTTTTTATGATAATCTTTGTATAAATGTATGGGGTGCATGTACAATCATGTTACATGCATAGATTGTGCAGTGGTGAAGTCGGGGCTTTAGAGGATCCATCACCTAAATAACACGCATAGTACTCAATGAGTAATTTCTCATCATCCACCTCCTTCCACCCCGCCCCCTTCTGAGTCTCCATTGTCTACCATTCCACACTGTGCATCCACATGTACACATTATTTAGCTCCCACATATCAGTGAGAACACGCAATATTTGTTTTTTTGTTTCTGGCTTGTTTCACTTAAGGTAATGACCTCCAGTCCCATCCATATTGCTGCAAAAGAAATGATCTTAGTTTCTTTTTTATGGCTTAATAGCATTCCATTGTGTATATGTACCACACTTTTTCTGCCCATTTGTTGATGAACACTGGGTTAAATAGTACTACAATAAACATAAAAGTGCAGGTATCTTTTTTATTTAATGATTTCTTTTTACAGAAATTTCTTGATAGTCAGCTGTCATAAGATTGAGAGATGGGGTGATGCTGTGGCCTGCAGTTCCATCTGTGAGCCTCTGCCTTGGCTGGCCTAAAAAGGAAGATGAGGATTTTCAGGCGAGGCATGGTGGCTCACAACTGTAATCGCAGCACTTTGGGAGGCCAAGGCAGGTGGATCACCTGAGGTCGAGAGTTCAAGACCAGCCTGGCCAACATGGTGAAACCTCATCTCTATTAAAAATACAAAAATTAGCCAGGTGTGGTGGCAGGCACCTGTAATCCCAGCGACTTGGGAGGTCAAGGCAGGAGAACCACTTGAACCCAGGAGGTGGAAGTTGCAGTGAGCTGAGATCATGCCACTGCACTCCAACCTGGGAGACAGAGCAAGACTCTGTCAAAAAAGAGGAAGAAGAAGAAGAGGAAGAGGAAGAGGAAGAAGAAGAAGAGGAGGAGGAGGAGGAAGAGGAGAAGGAGGGGAGGAGGATGGGGGAGGAGGAAGAGGAAGGCAGATGAGGAAGAGGAAGGAGGAAGGACCCTGTGAATGTGCCATTTTGTTTGGTCCTGAAGTGTGTACTTTCCCCATCTTGTCCGTTTCCTGGGAAGACTGTCAGTGCCCCCAATGCCCTGCCCCTCCCTCACAGTCTTCCTGCCATTCTCCCACCCTGGCCAGCAGTGGGAGCATTCCCCAAGCAGCGGGGGAGGGTCCTCCCACCATCATAGCCATTGCCAGCCTGAGATGACAGATGCCATTATGGAAGGGACAGAAGAGCTTCCATCTAACCGCTCCCACTGACCTCACCATCCGTGATGCAGATGTACTTGTCACGTCATAAACACTTGGCACCCATTGGCTCTTCCCCAAATGGCCGTCAGAATTGCAGTTTCAACCTCCAGGAGCTCTCCGATGGGCACAGGCTCCACCTACGGCTGGTTTGGAATGGCAAATCCATCACTCTCTCTTTGCCTGTAAAATGCCAAGGAGACTGATTTAAGCAGGTGAGTTCCCACCGATGGCCTGCTCTATACCTGAAGGAACACAGGTGGCATTTGCAGGAAGATGACATCTCATCATCCCCATCTGAGCAAAGTCTGCCCATCAAACAACCAAAGGACAGCAAGTCTCCCACATAGTGTAAAATGACTTGCAGTGATTCTCTTCCCCAAGGCCAGCCCCAGCTCTCAGACCTCCAGTCCCAACAAGTCCTTTTTTGCAGAGGAGGCTCACCCTGGAACACGGCTTTCCCAAGGGGAGACGGGAACGGATGTTGACTTCATCCCAGCAGCTTCTGACACCATGCCACTGTCTTTCAACTTTCTCCACCAACAGAGTCAGGCTGTTGACTGGCCTCAAGTGCAGTTAGCCTGACACGGCTAGCAGCCTCAAAACAAATTAAATGAGGCAGGGATGCCGTGCAGTGATGTTCCATTATGTCCCCTCTGCTTCCACACGTGATTCACACTATCACTTTTAGAAGGTGAAGCATCTTATTGAATCAACACCTAATCTGCGCACAGTGTCACAGAGGAGGGGCGAGGGGACAGCGGGAGCATTTTCCCTGATCCTTTTCTTTCCTGAAGACCTCGCTGGAGACAGGCTGGGTGAGGGTGAGGATGAATTGTGAGGAACCCTGACCCTGTTTCAGGTAAGCTTCTGATTTACTGTTCACTGTGCTTTCTAACGAATAATTTTTATATAATAATGCCACCAGTAAGCACCAAACCCTTCTTCTTGGGAATGCAATTAAAGGAAAAATTAGCAATAAATTGTTTTCAGTACTTAACCCAGCTCCAAATTTATGGCTGCTGGAATTTATTGTTTCGGGGGCCTGAAAAATGGCGATTAATTTCATCCCATTTCCTGCCATTCACCCTCAAAACTGAAATGTAAATAAGGAACTGTTTTCGGCCTCGAGTTTTCCTGCCTGTTACAAACCTCAAACTACAGCTCTACAGACAGCTACCTCTGAAGGCTCCTGAAGCTTAGAAACAGAGAGGAAAACACCCCTTTATCTGCAAGTATCTCCTCTACTTCTTCCACCGCTGCAATTGCTGGAAGCTCCACGAGTGCCCTCGGTGCACAGATGTGCTTTACAACAGAGTGACTGTAAATGAGAAAACACTAAGTTAGGCTGTGACGGCCAATGCTGGATGTATCAGTTTGCCCTATAAATAAGCACTGATCACCTCCATTTTATTGAACTCATTTTCCAGGCAAGCAAAGACCACAAGATTCTTCTGCACATTTTCTCTTTACACCCTCTAGTACTGCTGCTACTGTCAGCTCCGACAGATTTATAGCCCATTCATTCATGGGAACAAAAACCCTGCCACGGCTGGTCATGGGACACGCAATAGCAGTTAGTTCAAAAGATAACAGCTGCAATACCTCACCTCTCCATTCAGCACTACAGAGCCAGCACTACTTCGGAGGTAATAAATGCTTCTTGTTGGTGTGCTTTGAGTCATAATCCTGGAATAACTGTGGTCGGCCTCATCCCGGGCCCCGCCCCTAGGGAAACTGCTTTCTGCCACTCCCCAACACCCACCCCGCACCTCACTCCAGCCCCCTTCTGCCAGAAAACAGGGGGTGGGGGGGAGGCGGTTTGAAGGCAGCCCACTGCGTAACCAAAAAGTAGACCCCGTCTCCTTTTTCCAGTCCACCCAACACAAGCTGGGTTGCTGAACCTTTACAACTCAAGCAATTAGGCAACGCTGAGAAGCCGAGCTTCCTCGTGGTAAGTGGCAATGTGGGTATGTGCATTCTCCTTGCAAACTGATCAGAAACAGAGGCTGGGGCATGAGCCCTGTCCCAACAAGAGGAGGCAGCTGGTCTGACTAGTCCACCACCATCTTCAGAGCTTGGACACACACAACCAGCATGTATTAAAAGAATCCATGATTTTTTTTTTAAAGTAGTGAATGACCTGGGGAGGAATAGAGGATCTGTTCCACTCGCCTCACTCAGAGCAGGAACAGGTTTAATGCAAGAAGCAATACAGTGGTGAAGCGTTCTCCCTCATTTTGAAGTCAGCCTTTCCACCCACAGGCCTCAGTTTACTCATCTGTAAAATCGGGCTGTTAACTCTACCTATTCTACCAACAAATCAGGGATTTGTTGCTAGAATTAAACATAAAAAGTAAATACCTTTAAAAATTTAGCACAATGCCAACCAAGTACTATGTGTTATCCAATAAATTAATTAATTTAGTTGAAGAAATCAGGTATGCATACAAGAAACTTTAAGAAAGATCACTAGAAGACAAGGTCATTGACGATCAAACTTTAGGGAAATGCCTTCCATTTTTGAAACCCTCCAACAAGACACAGACACCTGCCCCCACCTCTACCTCCACCAACGCTCTGTGGCCTATATTTTGCAGATATGTGTTATTGTCGCTGTTAGTCTGATGTCCCGACAATCAAACTGCAAAGAGAAAAAGGCCAGTCACGCAGAAATCCAAGAGCCTTGCCTCTGGGATCTGCCCACCCTAGCTATGGGTCCAGGTGGGAGATGGGGCATGGAGATATGGCTGGCCCAGGTCAGGTAGTTGAAATGGAAGTTGAGAGCCTCCAGGCTGCAGAAGGCACCAGAGAGAGAAGCCGAAGTCAAACTCCCCACAAAGACACACAGTTCGGTGGGGAAAGAGAAGGCTGTGAAACACATAGAACATGACACTGGGCATCAGTTGCTATTAGTGCCTTCCTCCCTAATCAATCAGCTTTTATTGTGATGCCTCTAGCTCCACTCATAAGGCCTCAGCTCATAAGGCCGGAAAGCCGCTTCAGCAGCAGTTTAAAACGTTTCCAGTTTAATAATCCCTGCTAATTGAAAGAAGCTCAGAAAAGGGGGTTGGAAGCAAACCAGCACCGTTTATGGCAACACTGCTGTTCCTAGGGGAAAGAAAATAACCTTTGATGCTGCAGGGGGAACCTGCCTCCCTGTCCCCAAACAAACTAATTCCCACAACTGTCTTCTTTGGCACCAGAGCTGTTTCTTCTTATGTTTTAATTGTAGAATGTTATAGCAGCAGAATTGCTGTGAAACCTGTTTTTAATCTGCGGAAAGTTAACCACCCCCCTGCTGTAAAAACTGGATTTTTTTTTTTCTTCAACCGGGAATTACATTCATTTTTATAATTTTCTTTCCTTTCAAATTGCCTAATATGACAAATGCTGGACAACCTTACAGTTCATCTGGTAAAGAGTGTCTTTATGAGTTGAGGCTTCAATGCTTTAATGGAGAAATTGCTTGATTTAAGTCAATCATGTCACCTTCACCCTTGCAATCATATTTATTTCAGACGTCTGCTGACCTAACCTGCAGAGCAAAACTAAAAACACGTTTACATTTTTGAGCTCAGATATTTGGTTCAAATGCTGTACAAATAGGTCATACTGAAAAGTAACTTTAGCACATGGCAAAGGTACCATTTAAGTACACTTATGACTGTTTGTACACAAACACAATTATTCCAGTATTGTAATTTAAATGGATAAAAGACAGATCTTAGCACAAAACCCTCCATCGTGGTTTCCTGGAACTCCCTGGCAGAGCTACAGTTGGGGACATGGACATAGAAGAAGGATGTCATGTGTCTGATGTACCATGAATCAGCCGGGTTCAACCTTCACCCCTTGGATCCATGCAAACCTACCCTAGAAGGTGGATCCAGACACCTAGATCTCTTTTTTTTTTGTATATTTTTTTTATTTTTGTGGAAACACAGCGGATGTATATGTTTATGGGGTGTATGAGATATTTTTGGTACAGGCACGTAATGCATGATAATCATATAATGGAAAACCCATCCCCTCAAGTATTTATCCTTTGTGTTACAAACAATCCAGTTATACTCTTTTAGTTATTTTTAAGTGTACAATTAAATTATTATTGATAGGTCGGACAAATACAGCCTGGGTGATGAGATCTGGCTGTGTCCCCACCCAAATCTCATCTTGAATTACAGTTCCCATAATTCTTACATGTTATGGGAGGGACACACTCAGAGATAACTGAATCATGGGGGTGGTTTCCCTTATAGTGTTCTCGTGGTAGTGAATAAGTCTCACAAGATCTGACGTTTTTTTAAGGGGAAATCCCTTTCATTTGGCTTTCATTCTCTTCTCTCTTGTCTGCTGCCATGTAAGACGTGCCTTTTGCCTTCCACCATGATTTTGAGGCCTCCCCAGCCTTGTGGAACTGTGAGTCCATTTAAACCTCTTTTTCTTTATAAATTGCCCAGTCTCGGGTATGTCTTTATGAGCAGTATGAAAACAGACTAATACACTGGGCATCCACCTGTGCCACAAGAGGATGGCTTTGTATTGAGAGACATGATATGTAAGTAACAGAGGTGTAAATCTGAGTATTCCTCCTCCCCTCCCAGAAAGACTTGAAACATGGAACAGGAGGGCACTGAGCTTTTTAGGGTGATTGGCAGATGTGTTGATTAGTGAATTAAACAAGGCTACATTCACAGGAAGGTGATGTCCAGCACTGAGAGGTGCCCCCCCATCCAGACTGGGGTAGTTCCTTTTGCAGGGAAACAAATCAGCTGGAGTATGCCTGGGAACCAGCAAACAGGACAGTGAGAAGTTTTCCAAGTGTCATAGCTGAACAACAGGGGAAGAAACTGGAGAAGAGAGAACTCTAGGAAATAGGCTTTCTGTCTACAAATCCCCCTGGTTAACCATTCCGGAACCAGCCCTTGCTGCCTGCTGGAGCTGAGATGAAAGCTTTGCACAGGAGCTCCCTCATGCCTCACTGCATTTTCAGTTGAAGATCAGCAGGACCATGGTCTTCAGGTGACCGATAAGAAACTGAGACTTTGGGAGGGTCAATGACTCGCCCAGGATCATCTGCTATGACATGGTGGAACAAGAGTTCATACCCAGCATCTTGTTTTGATTCTCCAATGTCACCTGGGGTCAGGAGTTCAAGACCAGCCTGGCCAACGTGGTAAAACCCCACCTCTACTAAAAATACAAAAATTAGCTGGATGTGATGGCTCACGCCTGTAATCCCAGCTGCTCAGGAGGCTGAGGCAGGAGAATCGCTTAAACTCAGGTGGTGAAGGTTGCAGTGAGCCAAGATCATGCCACTACATTCCAGCCTGGGTGACAGAGTGACTTGGTCTCAAAGAAATAAAAGAAAATTGCTCAGGAGACACAGCCAGTGGGAACAAAACCAGAATTGTTTTTAAAATTTAATAGAGCCAGGATCTTGCTATGCTGCCCGGGCTGGTCTCGAACTCCCATGCTCAAGCAAGCCACCTACCTCAGCCTCCCAAAGTGCTGGGATTATAGATATGAGCCACCATGCCAGGCAAAAATCCGAATTTTTATACTAGGTAATTTGACTCCATAACTTGTGGTCCCAGCCACTGTGCTGTGCTGCTGCTTCCGTGTGTATATTTATGAACCAGTTTGTCTTGAGGAATTAAGAACCCAGGTGTGCTATTCATTGTGTGTAGCAAGAAACTTGTTGCTGTTTTATCACTGAATCATCCCAACAATCCAATGAAGTTGAAATATTTGTCCCACATATCAGAGGGGAGATTGAAGCACAGAAACTTGACCAGACCCTACTGCTAATAAACTCGGAACTGGGATCTGCCTGAGTCCCTCTGTTCTCCCGAGGATGAGGATCTGCTATCGAAGGATGTTCACCAAGGTAGGTCTTGGGCTTAGAAGGTGACCCAGGCCCATCTGGAGCCTCCTTCCCAGCCAAGTCTGGCCTGCAGTCATTTGTCTCCATCAGGCACAGCCATTGTTCTCCAAACTTCCTGGATCCCTCTTCCTAAAACAAACACCTCCAGTTCCAAGGAAGCCCTCACTTTGGAGAGAACAGGAAGGCACGGTTTCATCTTTGGCACTTCTCAGGCAATACTTTCTCACTGTCCAAGGGCAAAAATAAGGTGGATATAGCCCAAAAAATGGACATAGTGCTCTGAGAATTTAGCTTGGCTTGGAGAGACCTGGGAATAGGTATGCATACACACATACACATGCACACACACACACAAATACACACACACACATATGCACACACACACAGAGTTTCCTATGTTCCAAAACAAACCAAACTTTATGCTTTCACCTGGTACCCTGCAGCCCTGGAGTTTTCTCACTTTCAACCTCAGACCCAAAGAGGAACAAAGAGAAAGGGAAAGAAAATGACTTTCAGTTGAGTCCGTTTGACCCTGATCCATCCAGAGGAGATAATGAGGGCATGACAAATTGGTGGCCAGAAGGGCAATGCAGGCACCTAATTTCTTCAGTAGCGAGAGCCACCCTCCACTCCAGGGAACTCCTCTGCCAGTCTCCTTTTTTTTTTTTTTTGGACCAGTCGTCGCTTCGCATCGGCCCAGAGGTAGGAGTGGGAGTGACGCGATCTCAGCCACTGCAACCTCCGCCTTCTGGATTCAAGTGATTCTACTGCCTCAGCCTGGGGACTACAGGTGCCCGCCACCATGCCTGGATAATTTTTTTTTTTTTAGTAGAGACGGGGTTTCACCATGTTGACCAGGCTTGTCTCGAACTCCTGACTTCAAGTGGTCCACCTGCCTTGGCCTCCCAAAGTGCTGGGATTACAGGTGTGAGCCACCATGCCTGGCCTCTGCTACAAGTCTTGAAGCTTAGTTTCTCTGTTACACACTATCAAAACACAGAGAACACACACATATTCTAGAAGGTTGACATCATTAAATACCTCTCTTCTTCTGTCATGGTGGCGAAAAGAGAAGGAGGACATGCTTCCCTTTTACTCGAGGCTGCCACAGCAAACAAGAAACAGACGCTCTTCAACATGGGGGAAATCCCCTGCCTGAGGAGCCTCTCGTTGTGGGTCACAGCAGCTAAATTTGGGGCCAGGTGTGGTGAAGCATTCCTGTAGTCCCAGCTACTTGTGAGGCTGAGGAAGGAGGATCCCTTAAGGTGAGAGTTTGAGGCTGCAGTAAGCTGTGATCCAGCCTGGGGGACAGAGCAAGACTGTCTCAAAAAAAATAAAATAAAATAGAATGTTACAAAATAAGTAAATAAAAATGAGTTTTAGGCTGGGCATGGTGGCTCACATCTGTAATCTCAGCACTTTGGGAAGCCAAGGCAGGCAGATCACTTGAGGTCAGGAGTTCGAGACCAGGCTGGCCAATATGATGAAACTCCATCTCTACCAAAAAAAAATACAAAAATTAGCCAGGTGTGGTGGTGCACCCCAGTAGTCCCAGGTACTCAAGAGGCTGAGGCAGGAGAATCTCTTGAACCCGGGAAGCAGAGGGTGCAGTGAACCGAGATTGCAGCACTGCACTACTCCAGCCTGGGTGACAGAGTGAGACCCTGTATCAAAAATAATAATAATAAGAAGAAGAAGAAGAAGAAGAAGAAGAAAAGTTTTAATAAAATAAGTTAATTTGGCAAAGGAAAGCAACTGTCAATCTACACTTTTCCCTCCCCACTTTGACTGGGCCTGAAATATCTACATAGGCATACCACACTCTCTCAGAACCCCCTACTGGATAACCCTCTGACCTCCCCCATGTGGGAGAGAAAAAACAGAGAGATCACAAGACAGGTGGAAATATGTAGCCGTTCAAGATGCATGCATAAATCTGCACAATTAGAGCAAACATCATATTATATGGCAGAGTTAGTGCAAGAAACAGGAGACAAGTGCAAAGATGCTCTAAGTGTGTCCTTCCAAGACATTTCAACTACGAAACTCTGGCAGGTAGTATAAAAGAGAAAAATCTAAAAATAGTGCTTTCAGAGTGAGAAATATGATTGACAAATTTGTAAATGGAGAATTAGATGACAAGCTCAAGAGATAGTACCAGGACTCGAAGATAAATGCAAATGAGAAAGAAATAATAAATAGCAGGTGAGGCGGACAGATCACGAGGTCAGGAGATCGAGACCATCCTGGCTAACACGGTGAAACCCTGTCTCTACTTAAAATACAAAAAATTAGCCGGGAGTGGTGGCGGGCACCTGTAGTCCCAGCTACTCGGGAGGCTGAGGCAGGAGAATGGTGCGAACCCGGGAGGCGGAGCTTGCAGTGAGCCAAGATGGCGCCACTGCCTTCGAGCCTGGGCGTCAGAGCAAGACTCCATCTCAAAAAGAAAAAAAGAAAGAAAAGAAATAGCAGGCACTTATCCTGGACGTAACAGTGGCTTAAAAGGAAGGAAAAGAAGAGTGGAAAAGGAATAATTAAGAGGAAAACAAAAATCTTCCTTAGAGCACATGAATAGGGAAGTCTTCAAGGTAGGAAAGGATCTCTGGGAAAAAAATCGTCACCCAGAAGGAACTGATACAGGCTGTGCTTCAACTTCACACAAAATGACAAAAGCCCTATAAGGAACTAAGCACCAAATGTAAATGAGCTGTAAACGTCTATTAAAAGACTTAGTTTGGGTCAAAAACAAAATCCAACTTAGAGCTATTATAAAGGAACACACCTATAATAAAATGTTCCAAAAAGCTTTAAAAATTTATGCATTTATTCATTCAACAAATAAATATTGAGTTTTTTTCCAGTGCCAAATAAAGTGATGGGCAACGACTTACCAGGCAAACACAAACAAAAATAAATCAGAGACGATAATATTAATATTTAACAAGGTAGAGATTAAAGCAAAATGGTCAAAGTGAACATTTTTCTCTTGATCTTTGCCAGGTATACAGAGAAGAAAAAGAAGATTTGACCAATATTATTAACAAAATTGAATATATAGATATGGTATGTTTACACATATATACATATACATATACAAACCATATACCCAAAGGTCTAATACAGTATTTGAACAAAATACATTTGAGTAGTATTATTAATAAACTTGAATACACACACACACACACACACAAACCTTTCAAACCTATACTCAAAAGTCTAATATAGTAGTCACTAACCATGAGTGCCTATTTAAATTTGAATTTTAACTAATTACAATTAAAGTAAATAATCAGTTCTTCGGACTCACTAGCCATGTTTTCTGAGCCTAGTGGGTACTCCATCAGTCAGGGTGGATATATAACATTTCTACCATCGCAGCAGTTCTGCTGGACTGTGCTGCATACAGAAGTCAGTTTTTAAAATGCTGCATAGCATCTACAAAATGTTCCTGTAATATAACATGCACAAAAGAAGGATAAACTTTTTAAAAATGTAATTGAGATCAGTAATTAGGAATCAGGATCTTAGCACAAGGCGTGCTCATTGTTAGTAGCGTGTCACTGTTTCTAGGACCTCTCAGCAGACAGCTGGGAAACACGTGCACACATACACACACACATTAAATAGGTATTAATATTTACTTCTGTAGCTATAGATGATGATAGATGATAGATAGATTGATAGATAGATAGATAGATAGATAGATAGATGATAGATAGATAGATATTAAAAACCATGAGTTCATCTTCCCCTTTTGATTCCAATTCAGCACAACAAGGTACATTTCTTTTTTAATTTTTTTTATTTTTAGTTTTTGAGATGGAGTCTCACTGTGTCACCCAGGCTGAAGAGCAGTGGTGCAATCTCGGCTCAATGTAACCTCCGCCTCCTGGGTTCAAGCGATTCTCCCATCTCAGCCTCCAGAGCAGTGGGACTACAGGCATGTGCCACGATGCCCAGCTAACACCCAGTACATTTCTAACCTCCTCCTCTGCATATATCCCCATAGTGAGAAACTCAGTTCCCATTATCCTCGATACATGGATTCACTTGCTCATCCTAGAAGTCACAGAAGGTGGGTTCAAAATTCCAACCCATTACCATTGCAGGAAGGAAACCAACTAGAAGCAACACCAATGAGGAATCTGTATTTGTTTACCACTGGTTGGTTTGTCAGTTAGTTGGTTGGTTAATTGGTTGGTTCCAGGTAGGGCTCCTTGGAGAAATAACTGAACTGGGGCCGGGAAAGTCCAAAATGACCCTGAAACAGCTTTCTGTGTCAGAAATTAAGGAAGCGCTCAAAGACTCATACGGATTTGTCAAAAGGAGACAAGAACCAGATTGAAGGAATCCCAACTGCCAAATCTAGGACAATTTGAACATCAAAATACATTCTTAGAGGCAGAAGGATCACTTGAGGCCAGGAGTATGTATGAGACCAGCCTGGGCAACACAGCAAGACCCCATGGGCAACATAGCAAGACCCCGTCACCACACAAAAATTTTTTAAGTTAGCCAGGCATAGTGGAACACACCAGTAGTCCCAACTGCTCGGGAGGCTAAGGTGGCAGGGTGGCTTGAGTCTGGGAGTTCAAGGCTGCAGTAAGCCTTGATCATACCAGTGCACTTCAGCCTGGGTGATAGAGGGAGACCCTGTTTGTAAAAAAAAAAAAAAAAAAGTATTTTTAATGTAATGATGGTAATGTATTATAACCCATTGAATAAATTAAGAGTTCATGTGTCCATACTGATATAAATAAGTAAATTGTTTTTTAAATTAAGTAAGTGGGGAGAAAAAGCTCTTCCCTACAGTAGAATGCTCATTGATAATATAGAATGAACACTGAGGTTATAAAACCATCAGTGTATGGTAAAACTAGTGGGTGAAAATCTGATGAAGAATATTTACATGGTGCAAAAGTATCTTTCCACAATTAATTCCTAGTTACAAAGGAGAAAACAGTAACTTTACAGTGGAGGAGGCAGATACGCACCATGTTAACCAAGTGATCCGAGTTAGCAGCACCAGTATCTCAAGAAACCAAGTTCTGTGCCTCTTCGTAAGATGCACTCAGAAAGGTACGATGTCACTTGTGGGGTATTCCTGTTAGAAGTATATAAACTGAATCTATAAATGAAGAATCATGAAACACACCCAAATTAGTAACTGTTCCAGATTAACGATGGCTAAAGAGACAGGACAACTGAATGCAATTCTTGATCCTGGGCCAGATACTGCAAGCGAAAAAATAATAACTAGAAAGGACAATATTGGGACAATTGACAAAATTTGAAAATGGATTATGTTTGCTCTGAACAATGGACTGGGAGAATCTCCAAGTTTCTCTTTCCTCTGAAACAAATGGCACAGGGATTGTCCATGCCTTGATGTTTGGAAGAAATTAAGCTTAAAACTTTAATCTGGTATCTTGTTTTTGGAAGCAGTCCTTTGACAGTCTTTCCACTTCTTCTATGTTTGTTAGTAGTAGTATCTTTAGATTTTTCAATATTTCTTTTGTTGACAATATTGGCAATCCATATATTTCCAAGAAATTCGCAAATTTAGTTAATAGTACCATATCAATGTCAAATTTCCTGATTTGAGTAACTGAGCTGTGGTCATGTAAGAGAATGCCTTCTGTTTATTAGTAGTGCTATCTTTAGGTTTTTAAATATTTCTTTTGTTGGCAGTTTTGGTAGTCCACATATTTCCAAGAAATTTGTGAATTTAGATAATAGTGCCATATCAATGTCAAATTACCCTGATTTGGGGTAACTGGACGCCTGTGACTACATAAGAGATATGCCCTTAGTCTTATTAGCTACGGATGTACCTCTTTAGATTTTTCAATATTGTGCTTTTCTTGACAATTTTGGTAACACGATATAATTTCCAAGAAAATTTGCAAATTTAGATAATAGTACCATACTCACATGTTAACATTCTTCCTCGCATTTGGGTAACAGCTGTGGTCTAACGTAGAAAACACACAATATATAATAACAATAACATAATAGACATTGCCATTAGATATTAGAGGTAAAGGGGAATGATGCTTCCAGTCTATTCTCAAATGGTTTAGAAAAAATATTAGTATACATAATAATGTATACTAAATATTAGCATGTGCATATTAATATATGTACAGAAAGAAAGAGAGAGAACATAAATGGGGCAAATTTACACAATTGATAAGGGATATGTGGGAGTCCATAACTATTCCTATGACTTTATGTAAGATGGAAATAATGACAATAAAAAGTTACTGAAAATTTTAAAATGATTGACAGTTTGATTTTTTTAAGTTGAACTATTAAATAAATTCAAGGATGAATTTCTCAAAACAAATCCCAGTCAAGTCTAATCAAGAGGATAAAAGAAAAAAATAATCTCTGCTGTGGCAGGATGGTGTCACCCTTATAAAAGAGTATGATAACTCCATAACAATACTTTTTTAAGTAAATTCCAGACTGTATTTAGATGTCACCCATTTTTCAACTAATGTCCTTTCTCTGAACCAGAATCTTATGCAAGATGCCCCAGTTCATTTAGTCACCGTGTCTCCTCAGTCTCCTCTGATCTGCGACAGTTTCTCGGTCCTGCCTTGGCAGTTTAGAGGAATACTGGCCTGGTATTGTGAAGAATGTCCCTCAATTTCACACCCACAGTTTTTAAAATCTGAATAAGACTTGCAAATTTCTTGGAAACATATGGGTTTCCAAAACTGTCAATAAAAGAAATATTTAAAAATCTAGGATAATAATACTACTACTAATAAACATAGAAGAAGTGGAGAGACTGTCAAAGGACTGCTTCCAAAAACGAGACACTAGATTAAAGTTTTAAGGGCAATTTCTTCCAAACGTCAAGGAATGAACAATCCATGTGCCATTTGTTTCAGAGGAAAGAGAAACTTGGAGATTCTCCCAGTCCATTGTTCAAAGCAAGCATAATCTTGACATCCAAACTTCCCAAATATAACAAAAAATAAAACCTATGAACTAAACTCATTTGTGAATATAGGCATAAACATCCCAAATAAAATATTACAACTCAGATCCAACAAGATTAAGATTTTCTTGCCCAAATGCAAAATACTTCAACATTAAAAACATCCATTAACTATAATTCATTTCATCAAAAAGTCGAAGAAGGAAAATCACATAGTCATCTTGATTGATGCTGAAAGGTATGAATTCAATATTTCCTCCTGATGAAAACTCACTAAATTTAAAATAGAAGCATCTGATCTCAAAACAATACAAAATAGCTACCTCAAACCGCAGACACTGTCACACATGACAGCGAAAAACCAGCATCATTTTCATTCAAGTCAGCAATGGGACAAGGGAATCTATTATCACCATTGACAATATTCCGCCTGTTCTAGGCAATTCAATATAACAAAGATGAAAAAAAATGTGTGACTATTGGAAAGATACGATAATGGTTTTTTGTTTTGTTTTGTTTTTTTGTTTTTTGGGGTTCTTTTGTTTGTTTGTTTGTTTTGCTATTTCTCAACATGCTTGTTGATCTGGAAAACCCACGAGAATTAGCTGGAAATAAAAATTAGAAAAATCAAGAAAGCACAGTCTGGTGGTGATTTACAGAGTAAAGATGATAGATAATAGATACATAGATACATAGATAGATTCATAGATATATAGATACATAGATGATAGGTAGATAGTAGATGGATACATAGATATATAGATAGATAAGATGCTTTCCTATTTATTCACAATGGCCAGTGAAAACTAACCGTAATTAATAATGCAAAATAATATCCACAAAACAACTGGAAATCTGAATGCACAGAATAAACTAAACATGAAAGGTCATACATTCCTATTAGAAAAACAAAAAATTAACAGTCTTCAAAGAAGATCTGGATGAATGGAAAGATATATCACATTCTGATAATACTATAAAGATAGCACTTTTTCAATTAATTTACAAATACATTGCGATTTCAATCAAAATCCTTATAGGATGAAAACGTTCATAATATTTTTAAGAAACAAAATAAGTATTAGAAGAGGCTTACCCTATCATATATGAAAATAAATTACAGAATCATGCTGTTAAGACAATATGGAACCCACTCAGAAAAGACAGATGTAAAAGAGCATAAATAAAAATTTATCTGAGAAAAAATAATCAAATAATATACTAAAACTATATTGAGTCCATTTATTATTAAAGAAATGTAATGCAATACAAAATAACATTTTTTGGCTTTCAAATGGGCCGACAGTGGAAAAGAGTGTACAATGCAATTGCTGATGAAGAAGTAGGAAACTATACACCCCCATACACTCTGAATGTGAGGGCAAATTTCTATAACCTTTTTGGAAAGCAACTTGGAACCATGTAAGAAAAACTTTAAAATGTGGCATAAACTTTGATTTAGGAATTTTATGTTTAAAATTAGAAGCAGTTTTCTTTTCTTGTAATGTCCTTGTCTGGCTTTGGTATCAGGGTAAAGCTGGCCTCGTTAAAAGAGTTTGAATTTTCTCCTCTTCAACTTTTTTTTTTTTTTTTTGGAAGGGTTTTTGGAGAACTGGTATTAGTTCTTTAAATGTTGGACAGAGTTCAACCATGAAGCCATCTGGTCCTGGACTTTCCTTTGTTGGTTGATTTTTTATGACTGCTTCAATCTCCTCTCTCGTTATTGGTCTGATCAGATTTTTCTGTTTCTTCATGATTTCGTCTCAGTAGGTTGGACATCTCTAGGGATGTATCCATTGCTTTTAAGTTAACCAATTTTTTGACATATAATTTTTTTTTGAGACAGGCTGGAGTGCAGTGTCACCCAGGCTGGAGTGCAGTGGTGCAATCATGGTTCATTGCAGCCTCAACTTCCTGGGCTCAAGCCTTGGACTACAGATGCATGCCACCATATTCAGCTAATTTTTATTTTTAATATTTGTAGAGGCACAGTCTCACTGTTACCCAGGCTGGCCTTGAACTCCTGAGCTCAAGTGATCTTCCCACCACAGCCTAACGAAGTGCTGGGATTACAGGCATGAATCACCATACCCAGCCAGCATATAATTATTCTAAATAGTCTCTTATGGCCCTTTGTATTTCTGTGGTGTCCGTTGTGATGTCTCCTCTTTTATTTCTGCTCTCTTTCTCTTGGTTAGTCAAGCTAAAGGTTGGTCAACTTGGTTTATCTTTTCAAAAAACTAAAACTAACCCTTATTTTTATTGCTTTTGCATTGTTTTCTAGTGTCTGTATCATTTATTTCAGTTCTACTATTTATTATTTCTTTGGCTGCTAACATTGGGCTTAGTTTGTTCTTCCTTTTCTATTTCCTTAAGGCATAACAATAAGGTGCTTATTTGCAACTCTTCTTTTTTTGATGTAGGCATTTATTGTTATACACATTCTACTTAGAACTGCTTTGGCTGCATCCCATAAGTTTTGGTATGTTGTATTTCCCTTTTTGTTTCTTTCAAGATATTTTTAAATTTCTCTTCTAATTTCACCATTGACCCGATGTTCAGGGGCATGCTATTTAATTCCCATGTATTTGTGAAATTTCTGAAATTCCTCTTGTAACTAATTTCTAATTTTATAACACTGTGGTCAGAAAAGATACATGACATCATTTCAGCCTTCTTAAATTTGCTAAGATTTGTCTTGTGGCATAACATCTGATCTATCCTGGAGAATGCTCTATGTGCACTTGAGAAGAATGTGGGTTCTGTTGCTATTGGATGAAATCTTCCATGTATTTCTGTTAGATCCACTTGGTCTGAAGTGCCGTAGTAATTTTCTGTCTGGATAATTTGTCCATTATTGAAAGTGGTCTACTGAAGTCCCCTACTATTATCATGTTGCAATCTATCTCTCCCTTCAGATTCTTTAATATGTGCTTTATATATTTGGATGCTCTACCATTGATGAATGGATAAGAAAAATGTGGCATATATACATGATGGAATACTATTCAACCTTAAAAAATATTCTGTCATTTGTAACAACATGGATAGAATGGCAGAACATTACATTAAGTGAAATAAGCCAAGTATAGTAAGGCAAATACTGCGTGCTCTCACTTACACATGGATTCTGAAACAATTGAACTCATAGAAGCAGAGAGCAGAATGGTGGTTAC